TTTGAAAAAAAATATAACCAAATACATTTTTGAAGGAAAAATATTACCAGCAATACATTTTGGAAAAAAAAATATTACCAGCAATACATTTTTGAAAAAAATATTACCAGCAATACATTTGGAAAAAAATATATTACCAGCAATAAAGTTTTGAAGAAAAAAAATCTATTGCCAGCAATGCACTTTTGAAAAAATATTACCAGCAACACATTTTGGAAAAAAAATATAACCAGCAATACATTTTTTGAAGGAAAAATATTACCAGCAATACATTTTGGAAAAAAAAATATTACCAGCAATACATTTTTGAAAAAAAATATTACCAGCAATACATTTTTGAAAAAAAATATTACCAGCAATACATTTTGGAAAAAAAAATATTACCAGCAATACATTTTTGAAGGAAAAATTTTACCAGAAATAGATTTTTGACAAAACAAAATATTATCAGGAAAAAATATCAGCATCAAATAACCCATTGAGGTTGATAAGCCGTAAAACAAACCAAACTAAACCAAACTAAACTATCATTGTTATACTTAAAAATGTAAAACAAAATTACCTAGATTAATATTTTTAAGAAAATATTAAAACTGTTTGATTTTCGTAATTTCGTTTTATTTGTAAAAATATTAAAACTGGTTAATTTTCGTTAGATAATGGTAGTTTATTGGGTAGGAAATGATTGATCTACCCCTCATAAAATACCATTATCTAAAAAACTTAATGAGGGAAGTCCCCTTTGCTATGTAAAACGGATCCTGACAAGTGAAACAATTTGAAAATCCACGTAACTGCTTCAAGATCACGAAAACTGAAAGTAACCCTGTTTTTTGATTACACTAGTAGTAAAGGGGGGGGGTGATCGATTTAACTTGCTTTTACATAGAGAACTGAACCCCTGCGTAAAATTTGAATAAATAAATAAAAAAATAGATAATATTAAATAAAGTGAAAAAAAATTTTTTTTTAAGTCCAGAATAAAACATTTACATCGAAAGAGGAGGTGATCCGAAGTTTCGCAATAAAAGACAAAATATATAACGTTTTTCCATTGTTGCATTAATGAAAAATGTCATTAAAGAATTTTGTCAGATGAAAGTAATGTCTTAATTAAATTCAGTAAATCTAAATTATATTACAATCGTTCTTAAAATCAAACCTTAAAGATCAGGTCATTAATTATGCTGTTTAACATTAGACTGTCCATGGGGACATTATGGTGGTGGACATGAAGTGGGGGGCAACTTGCAGCAGAGACAAGGGATCAAAGAAAGTGTGTTGAAGCAATCCTTGCAACCCACGCTTCTTACTTCATCAGTACCAATTGCAACAGAGACTTTCTCTTGCAAATCATTCTGCACAATCATAGGAGAGGTTGCTGCAAGATTATATCACTTCAGCAATACATCAATTATGGTCTCCTGAGACTGAGATGCTGAAAATAAAAATATAACGTAAAAAAAAGGATTATTTTATTAACATGCCAGAGGATTAATCTGTAATCAATTTCTTAATCCACGTTATCCTCTAAAAATGACAAATTCTCACATTACAAACTTTATTTTGTGATGTCAACGAACATTCGTTGCCAGTTTTGTAATGCTCGTTGTAGTAGAGACTTTGTAATCGCAGATACAACTATGATAACGCCGTTGAACAATGCTGGTGCCAGACGCCCTGGAATAACACTCGCACTAATATTACTTGCTCGATAATACTCGCTCGAATAGTAATCCGTATAGTGATCCAAGCAGAGAAATAGTATAGTAGGGTAGAGAATAGCACTCCGTATAGTAATAGAGGATAGAGTAGAAATAGTGATCCGAATAGTAATAGAGGATAGACTAGAAATGAGGATCAATGAGATGTCACACGCTACCTTCCATATATGAGTTTCCTTTAAGCTCATGTGGTCTAATTAATTCAATAACAGGATCGCCTGTGTCTACTCTCTGGCAATCTATGTTCAACTCAAGTGTCGGCAATGACACTTTATTTCTATATAAAACTTTAAATTTTCAATTATGAATCCTAAATTCAGAAAGCCAAACCGTCCAGACCTTAGAAGATAAAAGTTATATCCAATTTTTAGAAGCACTACGTAAAAAATAATAATTTAGTTAGCATGGAAAAAGTAATAAGTTAGTTAATATTTTTTTTAAATTTTCAGTACCCCCAATTAGTTCTGTGTAAGAGGTCGGCGTGGTAACTATGATGAAGAAAATAAGGTCCGTGTATTTCGTCTTCCCCAGCATCAGAATAATCGAGAAAGATAGTTAACAGCCATACCTCGAGACAACCCCCCTGACAAACTAAACACGGTTGTCTGTGAAAGGAATTTTCTATTTGATTATGAAACAGTAGATATTAGAAGAACAGTACAAACCAGACATCCACCAACAGGATTTGATTATTTGCCATCAAGTGTATTAACTAGTCCTCAACCAAAACCAAAAACAACAAATAAAAATTCTGCTTCAGTGCGAAATGTGTAAAATGATGAGTTGGCACTGTTTCTAAAAAAAAGACTAAATCCTCACTTGAAAACTTGTATGAGAATATTGATCAACAGAATTTTATGTCAGCAGTTAGATGCTAGAAATCAAACAATCAGATGTTCCTCCAATCTGTTGATTTTTTTCACTGGATATATTTCAATGTTTTTAATTAAAATTTTTGTAAACTTCAGATTCAAATGTTATCATGCTGATATATATATATATATATATATATATATATATATATATATATATATATATATATATATATATATATACACAACAATATTTCTTTTCAAAAAAATCGAGTACCAATGTTTCAGCACTGGTCACAAATCAATGAAGCAATCCGTTATCTTAGTAACTTAAAAAGTCATAATAATGGTTTGGTTTGGTTTGGTTTACGGCATATCAACCTCAATTGGTTATTTAATGCCGACAAAATATTTATTACTGGTAATGTTTTTCCTCAAAACTCTATTTCTGGGAATATTTTTCCTTGAAGAAATCTATAGTTGGTAATATTTTTTAAAGAATGTATAGCTGTTTGCATTGTTGTTTTTTTTTTTTAAATATTGCTGATAATGATTTTTCCTTCAAAAATTATTGCTGGTAATAATTTATTTTTATTACAAAGTATTTCTGGTATTAAAACCTATTTTTACACAAGTTTGGGTGTTAACTATTTGCCCATAGTTGGGAACCTGATATGTACTACCACCCCGGGTCAGGATGAACCCGGGAACACCAGCAATTAAGAGGTCGTTCCACGCTCCTCAAAGCCTCCTAATCGGAGGTTCCGCTGTTGGACGTAGTTTATCGTCTTAGCCTGGACGCGGATGTAGTTTATCGTCATACCAAGGACGCAGATGTAGTCTCAGTTTCGGGGTTAATTATTTGCCCATAACTGGTACCCCGACAGGTTCCACCACCTCGGGTGGATCTAGGAACACCAGCAATCAAGACGTGGCTCCACACTCCTCAAAGCCTCCCGACAAGAAGCCCCGCTGTTGGACGTTGTTTATCGTCTTACCCTGGATGCGGATGTAGTTTATTGTCTTACCCAGGAAGAAAAAATTGATAATAAGAAACAATTTTTAAAAGATATCACCACAAAGGATTGGGACAAAACCTTATGATTCTGATGTTCTTATCAGGATATTTGAAAAGTTTGTTACATCTTGGTTATTATATAACAGACTTCGTCAGGATGATTTTAGGTTACCAAGTTCGAGACATTAAAAGTCTCAAAATTAGATGATTTTAAATTTCTTGATATTTTTAGTAAAAAAATTAGTAATTAGTTAAATTTCCTCTACAATATCATGGACAAAATTTATTTGTTTTTTTTTTTTTACCTTGATGAAGTGTATATTACATTTGCTTTACAATATCATGAATGAAATTTATTTGGTTTATCTGAGAATTCTGAGGTTTTAACAGAAACATTAATGGGTATCATGGTAAAATGTTTAAATGGTAGACCAAAATTTTTACATAAAATGATCCCAGTAACAAAATTAGACGCAAATTTTTTTTATATGAAAAAGTTATATATATATATATATATTTTGATACAATCAAGCAATTAAGTGGTCAAGTAATTGCAATTGTATGTGACAAAAACCGGACACGAATCTTAAAAAAAAAATTAACACTTGTTTTCAATAAGGGTTAGATACCTAAAAATGGCGCGGACTGACTTTTTCATTATGTCTACCATTTTAAACATATTCGAAATAATTGAATTAATGAATCTACATTTGAATTACTTCTTTATTCTGAAGGCAAAACGATGACAGCAACATGAGAAATTATAAAAGTCTTTTTTAGTATGAAAAAACTGAATTTATTAAGCTGTCCAAAAAACGTTTCCCATTGATTTGAATTTTTGCTTTCAAGCTGTATCTGTCATGAAAACAAATTCATTATTAAATGGAAAGGGTACTACAGAAACAGTCAATTTCATTGAAAAAATTTTAAAAAATTGTAAAGTTGTCTGTCAAAGAAATATATCGTGGTACTAAGAAAAATGATCCACTGAAGAAGATACTTCTTTCTAATTCTGGAAGAATAACACAAAGAATGGAAGGAAAGCAAGAAAAAGAATGAAATCATTAACAAGTGATATTAATTTAGCCATTGAACATATATGCCATGGATTAATTGATGTTTGTAGAGATTTGCTAAGTAGTTGGTTTAATTTTGTTATACTTGATGAATTTACCACAGACTATTTAGAACATTAAGACAAAGTGATATGTCCCGGAGAGGGATATATTTGAACGAAGTAGCTAAGTGGTTTTGGCTACTATAACCAAGTAGAATATGGTAGCAGTAATCGACTGGTACGCGTCGTAGTCGCAGGTAAGAAGTGTAGATCAATTGCGTAGTCCACTGGGCTTCGTTATAGACTTAGATGTCAGATTAAGGCTCTTTGACTCTCCTACAGGTCAGTCGGTATTTATGACGGACACCAGCCAATCATATTCCATTGAGGGGGAACACAGGTAGACGCTTATTTTATTATATCACTATCTATCTATCTATCTATCTATCTATCTATCTATCTTGATCTTTTCATTATCTATCTATCTATCTATCTATCTATCTATCTATCTATCTATCTATCTGATATGTCCCGGCAAGAGATATATTTGAACGAAGTAGCTAAGCGGTTTTGGCTACTATAACCAAGTAGAATACAGTAGCAGTAATCGACTGGTAGGCGTCATAGTCACAGGTAAGAAGTGTAGTTCAATAGCGTAGTCCAATGGGCGTCGTTATAGACTTAGCTCACGGACTAAGGTTCTTTGACTCTCGTACACGTCCGTCGGTATTTATGACGGACACCAGCCAATCATATTCCAGTGAGGGGGAACACAGGTGTATTCCATTATATCACAAAGTATTAAAAGGTGCATATTTTATAACAGTTTAAATTGTCATTGAAAATCTAAGTCAGTCATGTGCAATGCGTGATATACGCTTAAGCGATCATCTATGTTTCGATGCATAAACGACGAGGCAGATTTTTTCCCGCCCTAGGTTGCCATTTCTTTCTGCGGTAGACCAGTTGCCATCCAATGATATAGAACTCAATCTGTCCTGCTATTTACTCATAGCTGGGGGGGGGAAGTGGATTCATACCTTTCCCAAGGGTATTAGCACGTAAGTGAATGTAATGGATTCGACTGGAATTCGAACTCAGCTCTCCGATTCCTCAATTTGAGCCGCTATCCATTACTCCACCGTAACTAAACTACTAATGTAAAACTAAAATTAAACTAAAAATTAAAACTAAAACTTAAATGTTGATGCCAAACAATACAATTTTGATTCAAGCCATAATTGCTCATAATATGGACATCAGCTAGTTGAATTTGCATGCCAAACATTTGATAACTTACCAGACCTTGAAATTAGGATCCCTAAAGATATTAAAACTTCAAATTTGCATATATCATGTTTTGTTACAAGATAAGATTGTCCCATAGAAGAGGAAATATTTAATACTAGTTTATTTTTTTTTAAATAAATAGATCATTGTAATTTAAATATTCAACAGGGTACCACAGTTCAGTGTGTGTGTTTTCCGTTTTATAATATTTGCTGTTAAATTGAATACTTGGAAAAATACTTGACAAACATCTTTATGTCAGTTCCTGATATGTATAATTTCGATATGATGATTTTTATAAGCGTAGTCTAGATGTGGCACGAGGACGAATACATGTGTCACCCAGGGGTGATCAAACTCCCTACTTATTCGCAATTTTTCTAGCAAGACAAGTTCGTTAACCATTACACCCTGTCGAGTTTTCTACATATCATTTCAATATGAAAAGAGAGCATGAAGTTATATTGCCAAATATATTTTTCGAAACTTACTTTTTGTTTGATTCACCTAACACAACACATGAATCAACATTAAAAGTTTTGAAATTATCTTGACATTTTATTTATAAGATAAAAAATATTTATATATTTATCTTTAAGCCTGCATAATCAGTATTAAAATTCATATTTTTTCAAGTGGTAAAAATATGTTTATGAACTTGCATTAAAAAGGCATACTTATCAGTTTAGAGAAATAATTATCAGATATTTTATTTTCAATTTCTCCCATTTTATATATATTCATTTAGTTAACTCCTCCAAATTACACTGTTGATTAACTTTGTCTTCTTGTTATTGTAAACTGATTTTAATTATCAAAACTATGTATACAAGTAATATCTATTATTGTAGCATAGCGCAATAAGTATTTTCTTCATCTTCTGTGGAATAAATTGTACATGTAACAGAAATCACAGTACATTTTGTAAAGATTATCAAAATTCTTGTTTCCCTGAAATACACATTTTTGTAATATATTTTCCAACATTATTGAACACAAATTCGTAAAATGTTGAAATAGATTTCTCATTGTTTTATACAATTATATTTTCTGTACTCAATTGGTATAAACAAATTAACTCATTATTTTTGCAATATTATCTAAAATGTTTCTAATTTATACTGAATAAAGTGATTTTGTGTATTTATTTATTTATTTTATGGTATTGTTGTTATTTAATTATACGTTTCTGTTTATGGAAATAAGAGTGTAATTGTAAGCCGTTTCTTAATATTATGTATAGTTGCTGATTAACTAATTAAGGGGCATTCGTAACAAGATTTTTGCTAAAAATGTTCTTAGCAATTGTTACTTAGTAGTAATTTAGGTTTCCATATATCCACCCCTAATCATTGATCGCAGTTGCATGGTTGCCAGGCCTAGATTAAGGATCATCTTCACATTGACACGTTCATTTTTAACTTTATTTTACTCATATTCTATGCCTCTCGTACCTTCTTTTCTTTTCTCTCTCATTTGATAGGTATTCAGATTCACCACTGTAACCTTATTACGTAGAGGATATTCTTTCATATTTTTGTTTCGTTTTGACTCAGATGTCTGGAAGAGAGTAAAAGACATGGATTTAATAGCTCGCTTTTAAGATGTTAATGCTATTAAATCAAAGCTTGTATTCTCGTGATCTGACACTGTAAGGATGATGCATATTTATAGCCGTGCTTTCAGAAAGAAACGCCGCGATATGTTAAGAGCGAATAAAAGATGAGTTCTTGCATTTCTATGATTCGATCACAATTCTGCATCAGACGTTGCAAATATTATACCTTATATAACTTTCGGGCACGGTGGAGTAAGGGATAGCGGCTTGCATTGAGGAATCGAAGAGCCGAGTTCGAATTCCAGTCGAATCCATTACATTCACTTACGTGCGAATACCCTTGGGAAAGGTGTGAATCCACTTCTTCTCCCGCCAGCTATGGGTAAATAGCAGAACAGACTGGGTTCTATAGCCTTGGATAGCAACTGGTCTAGGAGAATGACAACTCTGAATTCAAACCCGGAGTGGAGCCCCAAAGGCGGATGGACGGCACTATGTTCCACCTTCCGGCAACTCCTGCAGCCGCGCTGGTACCAAACTATATTGGTTTATCCTCTCCTTTGGACTCTGCAAGACTGAGAGGGGGAACTAGATGTCTGGGCAGCCCTAGTTCTCCATATATCCCGCCTAGGCTCGTATCGAACCGCGCTACTCCATCGTCTCTCGAGACGGACGGATGCCGACGACGACGACGGAATACCTTTCAGGTTTAGCAATGTTGAGCAGGGTTTGTTGTCTTAATCCTCTCCTAAGATAAGACTGTCTGCAAAAGATAGAGAATTCAAACTGTAGACACAGTTGAACGATGACACAAATGGAAACATTCAGATCTTCTTTCTACCATCTTTTATAAGCTGTTTGCAGCCTGAAATAGAGAACAGCTCATTGATAAGACTCGATATGTTTGGACATCTCCTTCTTTGAATTACAGTTAATCCTTGTAGATTAATCGATAACTTTACTGCCATGGAGGGCAGAGTATTGCTTCCTTCTGATATTTCCATATGATTACTGAGTGCGACGTTGAACTGAAGAAAACTATAGAATACCGCTGATGAAACGTTGCGAGGGTAGCAACAAAGACAACGACATGGTTCGTAATGATATACAATACTAGCAGTAGATCCCGGCGTTGCCCGGGGATGTAACAGTAAGAGATAGATCAAGTATCGACCATCATAAAGACTGAAAAATAAAATTGACAAAGATTATTGTTTAAGGTTGATGGACACGCATGTCTTAATTATTTTTTTTTTGTTTTTTGTTGTTTTTTTTTACGAATTGGTCAAACCCAAACTCAAACAAAAACATTGTTTTCAATCGTTATGAGTCTACCGATTGAATAGAATTTTATTATAAACAATTGTCTTGTAAATGGAATTTTTAAAGCATTCTGAATGTAAAAATAAAGAAAAAAGTGTGCAAGACAATAAGAAACACTACCTGCCAAAAAAAAGTGAAGTTTTGTTGAAATCGGTTGAAAAATGTAGGAAATCCGATCCCATATATAAACGAACACACACACACATACACAAACAACCTGGGTTTTATAAGTATAACTTGATATGAGTTGTCCCCCTTTCATTCTCGCGGTGCCTCTTAATCGTGTTTTTAAATTGATTTCGTACAAAAACAATTGTGTTTTTCCAATTTTTGGCGCTGTCAGAACCACCGCAAGGTAATTTTACGTAGTCCTGTTAAGTTTTGTTGAAATCGGTTGAAAAATGTAGGAAATCCGATCCAATATATAAACGTACAGACACACACACACACACACACACACAACCTGGGTTTTATAATAAGTATGATTAACAACAGAAAGCCGATAAAAATGACGTGAGTTTCAATGATGATGCTTACTGACGCCAATCTTTTTTTATCATTTTCCCCAAGGAAGGCAATAAATCCACTAAGACTCAAGAGCAAAAGTATACGAGAAAAAGGAAAAAAATATTAATAAGAGAGAAAGATAAAAGAACAAGAAGAGAAAAGTTAACGATTAGGATTGCGTATATCTTTATGAAGATCTAAGTTGACTGGAAAGCAAGAGGTCGGAAGAGAGTTTTACAAGTGGGACGTGCGTGGGAAGAAGCTATTTACATAGAACTTACGGTTACATCTAGCCATTTCAAGTGTAAGATGATGATACCTAGTGGCCAATCTAGCATTGAACTTAAATTCGTAAAGTAGATCTACCAATGCTGAAAACTAAACAGAACAATTACCATGAAGATATTTCTAAAACGTCACAGGGAAACTAGTTTTCGGCGGTGAGAAATTCACGGAAGCCGAGATTGAAGATTTTTCTTTGGATTTTATTAAGAATCTCTAAGTATATAAGATAAGCAAATGTGGCAAAAGTAAATGGTTGACTTATAAACTTATAAGATAGATTCTATCTAGAAAAATGGTTTAGCCTGACATAGTGAACTAACTATATGATAACTAATAATTCATTCAATAGGTCAGCCCAGGTTTTATGTTCATTGTTATTAATATTATTGTTTGTTATGTTTCCGGCTTTGTTTAGTGCTGTAGCATCTATGAAAAGACATATCATTTCAACGTGAATTTTTTACTGTTATTATTATTATCTTTGTGTATGTTATGTTTCCTACTTTGTAACGTGTAGAACTGAGTTCAAACTATAGACATTAGGCCCTAAAAGAGAATTGTCATTTATTTGGTAGCACATTTCTTAGTATATGGGATGTTTCTAGTCGGGCGAATGCGAATGTCAGTGTGTTAGGGTGTCACCATTTTTCAATATTCCTCATTGTGGTGACCTCGCTGTAAAGAGTCTACTTGAACTCTTCCGCCTACTATAAGATTAGTAGGAGAGAAGGCCTTGGCTGAACAGTCGAATAGATTGTTCAACTGTCCAACTTTCTGCCTCGGAAGAGAGGAACTCGGACGAAGCTTTGCCGCAGAGCAAAGTTTCGTCCGGGGAGGTAGACAGTCCCTGGACCCGTTTGGGCGGGTTCAGAGGGAATATTTTTGGCCGAGTCTACGGGCTTGGAGAAACCCACGTTAAACTAGGCCCTGCGTCACATACATTCCTTGTGGCGGGGGGGTGGGGGACTGTTAAATATAACTGTCGAATAGATTGTTCATTACTGTTGAACTTTCTGCCTTGAGCAGAGAGGAACCCGAGCGAGTCTTTCCCGATGGGCAAAGTTTCGTCCGGGGAGGTAGACTGTCCCTGAACCCGTTTATGCGGGTTCAAAGGGAATATTTTTGGCCGAGCCTACGGGCTCGGAGAACCCACGGTAAACTCGGCCTTGTGCCACATACATCGCTCGTGGTGGGGTCTGTTAAATATTAACAGTTGAATATATTGTTCGCACTGTGCTGTCGAACTATCTGCCTTGAGCAGGGAGGAACCCAGACGAGGCTTTGTCGAGGGGCAAGGTTTCGTCCGGGAAGGCAGACAAGCCCTGAACCCGTTTATACGGGTTACACGGGAATATTTTGGGCCGAGCCTACGGGATTGGAGAACCCACGGTAAACTCGGCCTTGTGCCACATACATCCCTCGTGGTGGAGGGGGCTGTTAAATATAACAGTCTAATAGTTTGAACGCTGGGTCAACCGACACACACTCACTAGTAGTGTAATTCTCTTTTGTTGTACTTACTGTTTAATATATGATAGATCTCCAGCATTTGTTCTGTTTTTTCTTTAACCATTTACTTGTTCACAACACTCCTAGAGGGCGTATCCTAACATATATTACCATTTTTGAATCAGGCCGCCTCCGTGAGCAAATTAAAAACATTCCGGGCCACATCCGGGCGTGCAATTCTGAAATTTGAGATTCCCAAGTTTTCATTACTGTGATTGTTTTCGGGTTACACCATCTTGGTTCCTACAGATAACAGAATTAAATGGACACAACTCTCTAACGTTCACTAGCTCATGTTCAAATTACTGTTATCAAAATTACAGCGTTTCAAATAAAATTGTCCGTGATTTCAACTTTATTAAAAGAGGCAGTAGCCCAACATATAATACCATTTTGGAATAAGACCAACTCCGTGAACAAATTAAAAAACATTCCCGGTCAGATCCGGACCCATAATCCAGAAATTTTGGATCCCAAATTTTCATTACAGCGATTGTTTTCGGCAATTTTTGAACTGTTTTTTTTTTTTTTTTTTTTTTTTTTTGCGACGAATTTTTTTGTACGTTAACAATTTTTATAACTTGGAAATAAATTTGGAAGTAATTGAAATTATTTACAGAATCAATCAAAAGTCACCTATGAATATTAATGCAATCAATTTTGAGTTCTTTATTTTATTGTTGCCTGTCGCTTCTAATACTCCCTACCTATGATTAAATTTCTTATAAAATTTTTAAAATATTCTAAAATGATAGGGGATGAGATATTCGGGTTTAACATGTTGAGAGGGAAAATAATGAGAGAGTGGATTAGAATGAATTAGGATTAGAGGGGATTAACGGGATAAGCCCAGATGAAGGAACTCGAAAAAAGGTAACATAGAAAATAGAATAAAATAAAATAAAAACGCGAGAAATGTTGTCATTTCTAGCAGTGTGTCGTGACACGAGGTATTATTGAATCGCATTGATTAATCAATCAGTTCAGAAGGGAACGTTTGAAACCGAATCTGAAACAATTCTTGAGATCTTTTTATCATTTAATGCCAAGTAAATGTTAGGAAGCCATGAACCATGAACGTAAATTAATATTTAACCTCAAATGATATAAAGATTAAATAAAAAAAGATGAATTTTTAAGAATGACATGTGACACGGCAATAGGAAGATTGATAGAAACGATGAAAAGGATGTATTCAGAGGGTATAATGCAATCACAAAGCGATTCAAGAAGAGATTAACTTGTGACAAACGAACAATGAGAAAGTGATATTTGGTAATGATTAAAGAGGAAGTGGGTGCCTACGCGGGAAATATTAATGCAAGGGGATGCCTCATATGAACTGATATGGAACAATATCTAAACAGACACATCATTTATTAGTCTCACAATCTATCTATCTAGTCTGCTCATGTGCATTTATTTGGGTCTATTCTTGTCTATCTGTCCATCTTACTACCCATTTTGTTCATATCTATCTATATATCTATCTATCAATCTATCTATCTCAGTCCTTTCATTATCTATCTGAGTTTGTTCATTATCTATCTATCTATCTATCTATCTATCTATCTATCTATCTATCTATCTATCTATCTATCTATAAATAAATAAACTTATTCTGTTTTTCTCCAGGTTTCTTCTGTGTATAAATAACGATTACAGGAAAAAAATTGGATGACAAATTTTTCCCAAGAGATGAAACGTGTGGGCATAAAATGTTTTCCTCTTCTAGTTTATTTACCTTCTTCATATATATATATATATATATATATATATATATATATATATATATATATATATATAATGTACAAGAATACACACATATACACACATATACCCTTATATATATATATATATATATATATATATATATGTGTGTGTGTGTGTGTGTGTGTGATGTTCAAGTGTACTGTAGGCTCCCTGTGCAGCATAGGGACGCATCTGCCATTTGCCGTTTTAGTAACATGTTTTTTTTTACTGGGTGGAGACATCAATTTCACATCTTATCATTTCCACATTTACTCGGGCCGGGGAATACTGTTTTTTATGGTGTTTGTGTGTGTATATGTTTATGTATGTGTGTGTGTGTGTGTGTGTGTGTGTGTGTGTGTGTGTGTGTGTGTGTGTGTGTGTGCGTGGGTGTGTGTGTGTGTGTGTGTGCGTGTGAGAAATAGAAAATTGAAGAGAGAGGACAGAGAAATTAGATGTACTACCTTTCACGTGGCTAAAGTGCTCGAACCCTAGTTACTTACCCACAGTTGGGCGGGATTCGTGAAAGTGGATTTATTAGCCGACCAAAACGCGAGATCACCTAAGCGCGATGCTGTGGTTTTCAGCACCGATAAGAGCTGACCCCTCCGCCCGCACGAGAGCACACACACACACACACACACACACACACATATATATATATTATTTTTAGTTTATTATATTTTACTTCCTTTTTCTTCCTTTCCCTTCTCTTTCCTCCCTTCACACACACTCTCTCTCTCCCTCTTTCACTTCTCCCTCTCTCTCTTCTTTAGGTTTTAAAAGAAATGATATTCGAAAATCTGTTATTTTTCTTTCTTCCTCTCCCAATTTCATCACCTCCTGTTAATCTAGTATATCTCACTGGATGAATTGTCTCCATTTATTAAGAACTTTCGATCTGAAGAGATCATTATAAAGATATTCACGAAATAAATTTTAACTTAAATGGTTCTTTAAGGTTTTTTTCTTGATTTATTATTATAACGCTCTGTAATTTAAATTAACACAGAACTCTCTTTGCATTCACATCCTCCTTGGAATTATCTCTACCAGTCACAAATTGATATTATATATATACTTAAACATGAAAACAATAAAAAAAATTCTTGAAGTTATATACATAAAACAGTTGAAACCAAACCTGAACAAAATGAACTATGAAAAATCCAGAAATATTCTTAAATGCCTATAATTGATAACAGAAGCCATTGGTTTATACCAACGGCTTCCCATACTTGATATTTCTCGTTTTAACTATCGCGTGCTCATGTGTGACGTCACGAACAAAATGCAATTTTCGTTTCCGCGTCTCGTATACACGAGTTTATCGTTGCTTGGAAATATTTCATCCAACAAAATGTGACTATCATTATTGTTTTGTCCGTGTATTGTTTAATATATTGAAATGTAATTGTCATCTTTGATAATGGCTTATGTAAGCCGAAAGCTTAGATAGGATTAAAACACATGTATCAATATGGTGATTGCCTTTCGCCTTTCAATGATAGTGTTATGAAGCTTACCAGACAATGTGAAAGGAATTTACTTAAAATAATTCGACAAAACTATATTATTTAATGAAACATGCATCAATATATATATATATATATATATATATATATATATATATATATATATATATATTTCATTTATTTAAAATATAAAATCTTCCTTATTATAAAACCAAGGTTGTGTGTGTGTGTGTGTCTGTGTCTGTAACGTTTATATATTGGATCGGATTTCCTACATTTTTTAACCGATGTCAACAAAACTTAACAGGACTACATAAAATGACCTTGCGGTGGTTCTGACAGCGCCAAAAATTGAAAAAATACAATTGTTTTTGCATGAAATCAATTTGAAAACACGATTAAGAGGCATTAATGAAAGGGGGACAACTCACATCGGGTTAAAAATACAGGTTGTTTGTGTGTGTGTGTTTCTGTGTTCGTTTATATATTGGAACGGATTTCCTACATTTTTCAACCGAGGTCAACAAAACTTTTTTTTTTGGCAGGTAGTGTTTCTTATTGTCTTGCACACTTTTTTCTTTATTTTTACATTCAGAATGCTTTAAAAATTCTATTTACAAGACAATTGTTTATAATAAAATTCTATTCAATCGGTAGACTCATAACGATTGAAAACAATGTTTTTGTTTGAGTTTGGGTTTGACTAATTCGTAAAAAAAAAGAAGAAAAAAACAAAAAAATAATAAAACTAATTAAGACATGCGTGCCCGTCAAACTTAAACAACAATCTTTGTCAATTTTATTTTTCAGTCTTTATGATGGTGGATACTTGATCTCTCTCTTACTGTTACATCCCCTGGCAATGCCGGGCTCTACTGCTAGTATATTATAATAGTAGGCGAAAAAATAAAAAAAAAACGAAAAAGTTCAATCGCCTAGAAAGGATCGATGCAAGCTATAAAATATACGATATAAAATGCAAAGCGAGATACCTTGGAAAAAATATCACTCAAAACCATGCTACTCGGGTTTCGATCGCTAGATCTCCTCAGGCAAGTTCAAAAAGCTGTAGCATAGTAAACTCTACAACAAACTGTTCACTATACTACTAGCGCTAGAAATCCGGGTAGCGTAATTGTGAGAGACTTTTTATATAATATATATATATATATATATATATATATATATATATATATATATATATATATATATATATAAACATTATCTTTGATTTTATCAGTCAGTGTTAACAACATGTGTACCAGCGGCTGTTTGAGGAATAAGAGTTATTTACATCATTCCAATTTGATGTGGAATATGTTTTATTTATTCATATTTTTACCGTGAATACATGAAAAGGAAGGAAAAATACTTAATTCCACCAGCGGGCAATCAGGACGATGACTGAATCTACATGATTTTAAGAAAATGGAGATATTGTCGAGCAATGGCATTTTTTTAATATAGGACAACCAGAAAGAGGTTTTACATAAATGTCACGTTATTTTGCTTACAGCACGAAACGAATTAAAATATTATTTACATAAATTCTATTGTCCACATTTTTGTTGTTATCATAACATCCTTTCTTACCATGCATGGAGGGGAAAAGATAGTCACCAATCTCTTCTGTGGAACGAAATAAATATAATAGATATTGCGGAAGAGTAGATAATCAGACGTCTGAAAGAATTGGCCCATATGCTATGGGGACCTAACTAGTAGGCTTAGCATGGGAATAAATATATGGAAGGCGTTGATAATGAGAGAGAGATAATAGCAAGGATTTAACAGTTACAACAATAGCCGTAGTAGGAAAAAGAAGCATCGTTGAAAATTCTGTTACAGTTTTTTTTGTGTATATACTATGTAACTAATGAGCCAATCAAAATACCCTGACTCACTTTATAGTCTACCAATGGAAGGTTAAACAATCAGAAGCCGCAGAACATTGTATCCATTTTTGTTTACCTACCGGAATGACCAGTGCCAACTTGTCAGGCGAAGATGAATAAGGAAGAACTACGCTCTGCTACTTTGCTGTGATATCCACTGCGAACCTGAACTACGCTTTCCTACTGTCTCCGAAATATTCACTGCTAACCTCTGGATTCTATACTCGAAGACGACCGTCATGAATTTGTAACAAATTCAAGTTGCAGTAGCACTCATTAACAGTTACTTTGGTTTTAAGGCTTCAAGTTCTACACGGCGCAATAGCCTAGTGGATGAAAAACGTCGGTTTGTGAATTTAACGTGAAGGTAATTTTGAGTTGAATCCCTGGGCAGGCCAGTGAATACATTGGTCAGTGAAAACGGGACGACCAGTAACTGAGCAATATTAGACGAGATATCTAAAAATATAGTCAAGTTGAAAGAAGACAATTCAAACCCCATATATTAAATAAAGAGTTTAGTTGGAAATTCCCTGAATGTTCGGCACGCACCTGATGAAAGCGAGAGATGACGACGACCGAAGCACTGTGATAATAACAACAAAGATGAGGACAATAATCTGCATTTAAATAATGATACCGCCTCATCCCAGAAATTTAGAGAAGAATTAAGATATATGCGCGTGTATGTATATAAATATTACTATAGATGTTGCGCCTCCAACAAAGCCTTCATTAGATGATAACCGTTGTTCATACATGGATTCGGGATAGTAATATCATTACTATTAAGCCAGTGTTATCTCTTGATGCCATCAAGCTTTGTGGGTTCTACATCATGCTGGAAATTACTACGTGCAAGCGAATGTACACACTGCTCCAATATTAAGAGACTGCCTCCTTTAACCCTAGAACACTAAGCATCAATTAAAGTTTTCCACAGACAAAAAGGTGTAAGTCTCTCAATGCTTTATCTCTATTTTATTGAAAGTGTTCAGACGAACTAAATTCCTTAGTTCCACCAGTTCTAACCTTCTAGTCTAAGACTTTCCATACCACGCAGCTTGTAGCAAGCCATCCTCATTGTCTTTGTTTTCTTTTGGTGCACTCGCGCAGCTTCCTCGCACACACCGCTGATTTGTTGAATCGACTCCCAAGAGGATGCTTCCCTACAATCTTAACCTGCTCAAGTTTAACCCTAGAACACTAACTATCAATTAAAGTTACATCACTACTAACCATGGGTATATCATACCCGATTTTGAAAATATCAAATATAAATCTTTTACATACAGGGACTTCAAACTTTGTACTTTGATTTAACATTAATAGGAGGATCAAACTCCCTACTCAAACGTAATTGGTCTAGCAAGACAAGCTTTCTAACCATTACACCGCCTAGGGGTGCCCAAATAATGATTTTCTAAGCCCGGCTTAGATGTGGCACAAGGCCGAAAGTATGGAGCACCCAGTGAGGATTGAACTCAT